GCTGCACTATGAGCTCAGAAGCCAATGTGGCCCTCCTCGGGGCAAGGGTGGGCAAGGTGACCCAAACACTTACAGCAGCTGGGGAAATTAGTGCCATCAGTATTCAAAGAGGGGTTTGGAACTCACGTTACGGCATTCACTACGTAATTCCTTCCTCCAGAAGTATTCCCACATCTACACATAGCCAGAATCACATTTAGGTGAGTACTCACTGACTTTTACTAAGTATATTTCTAGGATTAAATATTCTTTAAAAATGTTATCGAGTATATAGTATTCCATTTTATGTATATACCATAATTCATTTAGTGCTAACATTATTTCAAAGGTCAGTGATTCCAATTTTCCCTCTTAAAAAGAACACTACTGTAATAAATGGGAACAAAATATGTACATCTTGAATGACTTTCTCAAAAGAATCAGAGACATGAGAGTCCAAAAGAAAAAAAAAAAACATTGAGAGTAAATACTCCATATACTCAAAATTTACTAAAATTTGCTTCCTAATAAGGTTCATAATATCCTAGCAAATGCTACCATGCAACTTTTCCAGAAACCTTGAAAAGGGGTATCTTACTATCATAAACATACTCCACTGATTGGTGTTAAAATTAAAGAGCATTGTAGCATAATTTTCTGAAAATTATCATATCCTTTGCCTATTTTTCAAATGTGTTAGTGTATTTTCCTACTGATCCATACAAGTACATCACTTATTTTACGCATAGAAAAGCCATTTATGGAATTAAATAATTACATAATAATTATATATATATTGATTTAGTTTTAAAATGTGTTAGTATAACTATTTTGCTCATCTAGAATTTAACTCATCACATGATGAGGACTATATATTGAAGTTTTTTTATTTTTCTACCAAATACCTTATTTTCTCAGTATCATTTGTTGAAAACTATAAGCTTCCCACTATTTGTTTTTGATTTGTGCAATAATCACCCTCTAATTTCTTAAATGGAAATTATTTTTGCATAATATTGTTTTAAAATGTTATCTTCAATAACTAATTTAGCAGCTAGCAAGGTGATCAGAAATCTTTTGAACTACAATAAAGCTATGCTAGAGAACTTCTGGCCTAGAAGTGAGCCAACAGCGCCCCAGCGTGAAGAATGATAGGGCACGGTAATTTCCTTCCATTGCACTTACATGAAATGTGCTGTGGCTGCTCTCCTGTAAGGAACTATTATTTACTTACCTTGTGGTAAGTGAGGGTGCATTCTCGCTTCACTATCCACACTTAATCCTGTCAGCAAAGGCAGTTTATGAAAGAGCAAATCAAGATTCATGTACTATCCACGGATAAGACAAAAGAAGTCTACCAGCCAAGGAAGAAATGAAGTCAGCCTAGGTCTGTTTAGTATTCTGACAAGCCAGTCAAGAACTCAACAGTTTCTACACCTTTAATTATACTGTGTAATATACAAATAGGAATAGGAGGAGAAATGGTCTTACTAATGCTGGGGAGGAAGAGATAAAGCCTGAGAATAGTGAAATGCCTATGCTGAAGATAAAGGGACTATAAAGAAATTGTAAGGACGCAAATGACCCTATGGTACTCTATGCAGAAATTTGTATTTTAAAAAATTATGTTATTATCAACAATAGAACAGCATTTCATCTCTAAATTTTTATTTAACATTAACAGTCACAAATTTCAGCTGGTTTTACGATCACAAGGCAGAAACAAGTCACATTAATAAAATAACAGCATATAACCACTAACCATTCTCAAATATCTTTAAGGAGATAATTTTATCAAGTTTTTAAAACAATTTTAATGCAAATTTTAATTATGCAAAAATAATTTCCATTTAAGAAAACAAAATAGGTGGCCAAGCACAGTGGCTCAAGCCTATAATCCCAGCACTTTGGGAGGCTGAAGCAGGAAGATCGCGTGAACCCGAGAGGTCAAGGCTGCACTGAGGTACGACCATGCCACTGCCCTCCATTCTAAAAGAGTCAGATCGTGTCTCAAAAAATAAAAAAAGAAGCATCCACAAACTATGTCACACAGAGCTTTGTGAGGTTAAGCACTATCTATTACCTTCCAACCACTTAAGAGGAAGAAAATGTATAGCTCCTCCTACTTAAAATATTTACATTTAACGTGTCAGAAAATACCTAAGGCCATGCATGGTGGCTCATATCTGTAATCCCTTTGGGAAGCCAAGGCAGAAAGATTGCTTGAGCCCAGGAGTTTGAAACAAGCCTGGGCAACATAAGGAAACCCCATCTATACAAAAAAGCTTAAAAATTAGCTAGGCCAGGAACAGTGGCTCATGTCTGTAATCTCAGGATTTTGAAAGGCTGAGGCAGAATCACTTGAACTCAAGAGTTAGAGACCAGCCTGGGCAACACAGTAAGAGCTCATCTCTACCAAAACTCAAAAAAAGTAGCCAGATGTGGTAGCACATGCCTGCAGTCCCAGCTACTCAGAAGTTGAGGTGGGAAGAACACTTGAATCCAGGATGTCCAGGCTACAGTGAGTCATGATTACACCACTGCATTCCCATCTGGACAACAGAGTAAGACCCCAACTCAAAAAAAAAAAAAGTAAAAGAAAAATAGAAAATACCTTAGCCTGATGCTTTTTAAAATAAATACTATTTCCAGCTACCTACCTATAAAAATACGATAAATTGTTAATTACTATGATAGTAACACAAAAATAAAAACTATATAATCAGCACTCAATATTCTGTTGTAATTATGCATATGATGGGCTTTTTTTTTTTTTTTTTTTTTGAAGGAAAGATTGACAAGGTGTGGTGGCTCTCACCTGTAATCCCAGCACTTTAGGAGGCCAAGGTAGACAGATCACTTGAGCTCAGGAGTTCGAGACCAGCCTGGCCAACATTGTAAAACCCCATTTCTACCAAAAAAAAAAAAAAAATTAGCCAGGTGTGGTGGCACATGTCTGCAGTTCCAGCTACTAGGAAGGCTGAGTCAGAAGAATCACTTGAGCCTGGGAGGTGGAGGTTGCAGTGAGCTGAGATGGCACCACTGCACTCTAGCCTGGGTGACACAGTGAGACTCCGTCTTAAACAAACAAACAAAAGTAAACAGCTAACACTAAACAATTTGGAAACAGGTGGTTAATGCAATAGTGAATGTGTAAGCAGAAGAAAACACAGATATACAAGAGTAAAGATGCCCTGATGGCCTCAAATTCTGGGAATCTTTTACATATAGATACAATAAAACTTCAGCATCATTCTCTAGTATACAAACTCATTCCGAGTAACCAAAAATATTATACATAATTTCAAAGTTAACAGTTGCAAAACAAATGATTGCCTAAAATCGTCATAGAAAAATATTTGAGACTAAATGTAAAAATTAAATAACCTGGGCCAGCTGTGGTGGCTCACACCTGTAATCCCAGCACTTTTGAGAGGCTGAGGTGGGTGGATCACTAGGTCAGGAGATGGAGATCCTCCTGGCCAACATGGTGAAGCCCCTGTCTCTACTAAAAATACAAAAATTAGCTGGGCGTGGTGGTATGTGCCTGTAATCCCAGCTACTTGGGAGGCTGAGGCAGGGGAATTGCTTGAACCAGAGAGTCGGAGGTTGCCGTGAGCCAAGATCGCGTCACTGCACTCCAGCCTGGCAACAGAGCGTGACTCCATCTCTAAATAAATGAATAAAATAAAAAATAAACATTTTGAAGTATGGTCATAAAATGTGATTTGAAAGACTTAAATCTATAACTACTATTCAAGAAAAAAACTATTCCTTAAAACTAAAAAAACATAAAATTATATATTCTACAAAAACAAATCAACTTCATCTACGGCCCAGTCCTACCCAACTATGGAATGTCAGAATAGAAGGTCTCGCCATGGACTCAAGAGCTGACATGAGGAATGTCACCACCATCCTGCTCTTTGAAGACTTCTCACCTTCAACAGGCAGAGTGGACATTGCTACTTGGGCCATGATCTTTGTGCAAGGGAAGTAATCAGAAAGTGAGTGGTAGAAATCTGGTGTCCTACACCCACATTCAGGGCTTCGAGGGTCTCCCATGGGCTGCCTAATTTATAGTTTTCTTGCCTAAGAGAAAAAATAAGGCTTAGAAATTATGTACTTGATTTGCCCAAAACTCTCATCAGCTAGAGAATCCATCCCCTAACTTTCTATTTAGTGTTATTTCAATAAAATTACATCAACATTACACCCAAAATAAATCCAGATGGCTGAGTCAATCAGTGAAATTTCTCCCAAGGAGGAGGAGGAGGAGAGGTGCTTTACAACCCAGTGATGGGCTACCACAGCTCAACACAGGACAGAGCTGCCAAGCTCCTTTTCTCCCCCGCATATCCTGACACAGCAAAGAGCGGGTGCAGTGGACTGAGGCTGGGTGGAGATAAGTTCCTCTTTTTACTAAAAATAAATAGATCACAGGCATCAAGTAACATGTGAGATTCTTTATAACACAGCATATTGTTCTCTTTGAAAAAAACCTGTAACATTTTGTTAACAGCAAAGACCCTCAAATGAATTTCAAACACTATAAATATATAACACATCAACAGGAAATACTAACTGTCAGCAAGGATATCAAAAACCTGGAACCTTTATGCACTGCTTTTTGGAATGTAAAATGGTGCAGCCCCTGTGGAAAATGGTTTGGCAGTTCCTTGAAATATTAAGCATAGAATTATCATATGATCCAACAACTCCCTTTCAGTGTATATACTCAAAAGAACTGAGAGCAAGGACTCAAACAGGTATTCGTACACTTGTGTTCACAGCAACATTATTCACAATGGTGAAAAAGGTACAACCAACCCTAATGCCCATAAATAGGGGAATGGATAAGCAAAACGTGATATACACGTACACAGAATATTATTCAGCTGTATAAAGGAAAAACAATTCTGGCCAGGTTTGGTGGCTTACACCTTTAATCCTAGCACCTTGGGAGGCCAAGGCAGGCAGATAGCTTGAGCCCACGAGTTCGAGACCAGCCTAGGCAACATAGCAAAACTTCATCTCTATAAATCTTTTTTAAAAAATAAAATTCTGATAATGCTATAGATGAACCTTGATAGCACTATGCAATCCATGCATGTAACAAAATTGCAATTGGATTCCATAAATGTATGTAAAGTTTTAAAATGGAGAATTTATCAAGGAAGAAATGTGACCCACAAAGAGCAGAGAGGAGTGAAACAGGAAAGCCACCCAGCCAGAATTGGTGTTGAGCTAAGAGAGGCTCTCCACTGTAGGAAAATGGTGAGTAAGCAAGAGCTGCTGGTGACTCACCCTTCTGCCATTGATCTTTGAAATCCTGGGCCCAGAAAATCCCCCAACACCTTCCCCACAGGGCTCCTCAACTGACACAGAGAGCTGCATGGAGTCTGGGCAGACCCTCCAGTCAGGGCCACATGGAATCCTAAGGGCCTTGGACTCCTGACCACAACACTGCCAGTTGCTAAAGCTCTGCCACTAGGGGAGGACAGGCTCTCTCACATGCCCCCAGGATAGGGGCCATACCTACAATGCTGAGGAGCAGACTCACCTCCTGTCTCTACTCTATCTCCTATAGAGGCCCCACTTCCACTACACCTCGCCTAGAAATGCCCTCTGGCCTGGGTCCCAGCGCAGCCACTTAACCCCTACTTAAGCACTCAGGCTGGTTGCAACTCTGCAGACAGAGCTCCCAGAGGTAACTGACAAGCCTGCTGTTTCTGCAATTGCCATGGCCCCAGGCTCTACCTCTCATAGGCTAGGGAAGAACTAAAGAGCCCAAGAACTACTATAGGCTTCCAGCATACCACGGTTGCCTTACAGAAAAAGTAGACAAACTGTTTTCCACGTGGGTCCCCTTCCCTGCTACTCTTCACTGTATAGAGTCTCCTGACGTGGGCCCCCAGCACAGCCATTCTGCCCCCGACTACTCCCATGGGTTACTTCAGGCAGTGACCATCTCTGCATCTCTCCGCAATGGAGCTTTCAGAGGCAACCCATAGGCTCCCCGCCATTGCCACTGTAGCAGTACCACCATTGTTGGCCTTGGTCTGGGAAAAGAATGAAGACCCTGATTGCTTTGCTAGCACTTCCAGCATGCCACAACCACAAGATGGAGAGAAGCCCAGTCTCTCTTCTCTGTGGGCTTCTGGCTCCCTTCTCTTCACCAGGTGGAACCCTGCGCTTAAGCACACAGTGCAGCCACCTCACCCTTGGCTGAACATTCTCACTGACAGAGGCTCTGTGCCTCTCTAGGGTGGAGTTCCCGGAGGCAACTGACAACCCTTCTGCCATTACTGCTGCAGTGATCCTGCCCTTGCTGCCCTCAGGCTGGGGAAGAAACAAACAGCCTGAGTGTTTTGCTCATGCCTCTAGCAGGCCACAGCCAACAGATGGAGAAGAGCCCAGTCTCTCTTCCCTATTGGCCCCAAATCCCCTGCTCTTTACCAGGCAGGGGTCCCAGCGTGGGCCCACAACGTAGCTGCTCCATACCTGACTGATCAATCTGATTGGCAGCAGGTCTGCATATCTCTGAGGTGGTACCCCAAGAAACAAGTGAAAGGCCTTCTGCCATTGCCAAGGCCAAGGTCCCCGTCTCTGCTGCTCCCAAGCTGGGGAGGGAATAAAAAACTTGAGTTAACCCCAGGGCTATGATGCCAGCCTGGGAGTGCCAAGCCAAGACCTGTGGCTAGTACTCAAGTGGAGGAGGAGCCCCCACTCTCACAGCACTGAAACGGGGAATGGCTGCAAACACAAGAAAATACGGAGGACCAGTGTTGCCAAGAGCCTATCCGCTGGCCATTACACTTATGTGCCATCTACTCAGTTGCAGCTCAAACATTAACACCAATAATACTTTGCTATATGTCCCCCTGTGAAATGAAAGACAAGAATTCAGCCTCAAAGACACTTTGCAAAGTCTTGGGCCCTCTGAAAACATCAAGGAGTAAAACAAGCTGACTGTACTGAAATTACAACACAGTTAAAGAAACACCAGCCTACACGAATGAAAAGAAACCAGCACAATGCAACTCTGGCAATGCTAAAAGTCAGAGTGTCTCCAAATGACCACACTAGCTCCCAAACAATAGTTCTTAATCAGAATAAAATCGCTGAAATGACAGAGAATTCGGAATCTGGATGCCAATGAAGATCATCAAGAATCAGGAGAAAGCTGAAACCCATTTCAAGGAATCTAAAAAATTCAGTGAAACTATTCAAGAGATGAGAGATAAAATCGCCTTAAGAAGGAACAAAACTGATCAGATAAAGCTGAAAAACTCACAAGAATATTTTGTAGTACAATCATTAATATTAACAACTGACTACATCAAGCTGAGGGAAGAATTTCAGAGCTCAAACACCAATTCTTTGAATTAATTCAGACAAAAAAAACTGAAAAACGTATTTTTTTAAATGAACAAAACCTTTAATAAATATGGGAATATGTGAAGACACAAAATCTACAACTCACTGGCATCTCTAAAAGAAAGGGAGAGAGAACAAGAAACTTAGAAAACATTTTTGAGGATATTGTCCATGAGAATTTTCTTAACCTTCCATGAGAGGTTAAAATTCAAATTCAGAGAATTCAGGGAACCCCCAGGATATAGCATACAAGATAACCATCCCCAAGACATGCAGTCGTTAGATTCTCCAAGGTCAATGTGAAAGAAAAAAATATTAAAGGCAACTAGAGAGAAGGGGCAGGTCACTTATAAAGGAAACCCCATCAGGCTAGCAACAGACCTTCCAGAAAAAATACATGCAACACAAGGGCAGGCACGGTGGCTCATGCCTATAATCCCAGCACTTTGGGAGGCCAAGGTGGGCAGATCACAAGGTCCAGGAGATCGAGACCATCCTAGTTAACACGGTGAAACCCTGTCTCTACTAAAAATGCAAAAAATTAGCCGGGCATGATAGCAGGCACCTGTAGTCCCAGCTACTCAGGAGGCTGAGGCAGGAGAATGGCGTGAAACTGGGAAGCAGAGCTTGCAGTGAGCCGAGATCGCACCACTGAACTCCAACCCAGGCGACAGAGCAAGGCTTCATCTCAAAAAAAAAAAAAACCAGAAAAAAAAAAACAAAAAAAAACCATGCAAGACAAAAACAATTTGGGGGCCTATATTCAGCATTCTCAAAGAAAATAAACTCCAACCAAGAATCTAATCACACCAAACTAAGCTTCATAAACAAAGGAGAAAAGATCCTTTCAAGCAAATGCTAAAGGAATTCATTACATTATCCTGCCTTAAAAGAGATTATTTGTCAGGTATGGTGGCTCGCCCCTGTATTCTCAGCACTTTAGGATGCTGAGGCAGGCAGATCATGAGGTCAAGAGATCAAGACCATCCTGGCCAACATGGTGAAACCCCATCTATATTAAAAATACAAAAAAAAAAAAAAAAAAATAGCTGGGCGTGATGGCATGCACCTATAGTCCCAGTTACTCAGAAGGCTGTGGCAGGAGAATCACTTGAACCTGGGAGGCGAAGGTTGCAGTTATTAGCTGAGATGGTGCCAATGCACTCTAGCCTAGCAACAGAGAGAGACTCCATCTCAAAAATGAATAAATAAATAAATAACAGAGATTCTTAAGAGTGTATTAAACATGGAAATGAAGAACTACTACTGGCCACCACAAAAAAAAAAAAAAAAAAAAAAAAAAAAAAAAACACCACAACTAAGGGCCTGGGCAACATGGTGAAACCCCGTCTCTACTAAAAACATACAAAAATTAGCGGGGTGTGGTGGTGCACACCTGTAATCCCAGCTACTCAGGAGGCTGAGGCAGGAGAATCACTTGAACCAGGAGATGGAGGTTATAGTGAGCCGAGATCATGCCACTGCACTCCAACCTGTACAACAAGAGTGAAACTCCGTATCAAAAAACAAAAAAACAAAAACAAAAAAACACACACACTTAAGTACATGGGCTATTTACACTATAATGTAAATACACAATCAATTTTACATTACAAACAGCTAACAACACAATGTCAAGATCAAATCTGCACATATCAGTATTAACCTTGAAAAAGAATGGGCAAATGCCCCATTGAAAAGGCACAGAGCAACAAGTTAAATGAAGAACCAAGACCCAACTGCATGCTGTCTTCCAGAGACCCATCTCACATGCAAGGAAATGCATAGGCTCAAAGAAAAGAGATGGAGAAAGATCTACCACGCAAATAGGAAAAAAAAAAAAGAGGAGGAGTTACTACTCTTTATTTCAGACAAAACAGACTTTAAACTAACAATGATCAAAAAAGACAAAGAAGGGCATTTCATAATAATAAGGGGTTTGATTCAATGAGAAGACTTAGCTATCCTAAATATATATATGCATAAATTTGTATATATACACATACACACACACACGCATATATATGTATATATATATATATGCATCTGCACCCAATACTGCAACATCCAGATGCATAAAACAAGTTCCTAGAGACTTATGAAGAGACTTAGATAACCACACAATAATACTGTGAGACTTTAAAATCCCACTGAAAGTACCAGACAGTTCACCAAGGCAGAATACTCACAAAAATATTTAGGATTTAAACTTGACACTTAACCAAATGGACCTAACACTCATCCACAGAACACTCCATCCAGCAAAAACAGAATACACTATCTGCACATCACACAAACTCTACAACTGACCACCACATACTTGGCCATAAGGTAATTCTCAACATATTCTAAAGAATCAAAATCATACCAACTACACTATCAGAATATGGTGCAATAAAAATAGAAATCAATACCAAGAAGATCTCTCAAAACCATAAAAATTTAATCAAAACTAAATAAGCTGCTTCTGGATGACTTTTGGGTAAAGAATAAAATTAAGGCTAAAATCAAGAAATTAAGTGAAACTAATACAGACAAATATACAACATACCTAAATCACTGGGAAACTGCTAAAAAAAAAAGTGTCAAAGAGAATGTTTATAGCACTAAACATCCACATTAAAAAGTTAGAAAGATATAAAATTAACAAGCTAACATTATATATTTTTATTTTATTGTTATTTATATATTTATTTTTGTGACAGAGTCTCTGCTACCCAGGCTGGAGTGCAGTAGTGCAATCTCAGCTCACTGCAACCTCTGTCTCCCAAGTTTAAGCAATTCTCCTGTCGCAGCCTCCTGAGTAGCTGAGACTACAGGCTTGTGCCACCATGCCCAGTTAATGTTTGTATTTTTAGGAGAGACACACAAGGTTTCATCATATTGGTCAGGCTGGTCTCAAACTCCTGACCTCAGGTGATCCACCCGCCTTGGCCTCCCAAAGTGCTGGGATTATAGGCATGAGCCATTGCACCTGGTGATATATAGAGGAACCAGAAACGTAAGAGCAAATCAACCCCAAAGATAGAAGCCAAGAAATATTAAAACTGAACTAAATGGAGATTTTTTTTAAAACTGTACAAAAATCCAATTAAAATGACTTTTGAAAGAAAATTGATAGACTGCTAAAGAAAAAAAGATTTTCATAAATACAATACAAAATGACTAAAGAAATATTATCACTGATGCCACAGGAATACATGAAACAATTAGATAAGTAATATAAACATTTCTATGCACACAAATTAGAAAACACAGAAGAAATGGAGAAATTCCTGGAAACATACAACCTCCCAAGATTGAATCAGGAAGATATTAAAACCACAAACAGAGCAATACTGAATTCTGAAATTAAATCAATAATAAAAAAGCTTACCAGAAAAAATCCTGGACCAGATGGATTCACAGCCAAATTCTACCAGACATATAAAGAAGAGCTGGTACTAGCTGTACTGAAACTATTCCAAAAAAGTAGGAGGAGGGACTTCTTCCTAACTCATTCTATGAGGCCAGTATCATCCTGACACCAAAAACTACCAGAAACAGAATAAAAAAGGAATTATCAGGCCAATATCCCTGATGAACATAGATGCAAAAATCCTCAAAAAAATTAGCCAACTGAATCCAGTAGCCCACCAGAAAAGCTAATCCACCATGATCAGATAGGCTTTATTCCTGGGATGCATGGTTATTTCAACATATAAAATTAAATGTTATTCATCACATGAACAGAGCTAAGAAACAACCACATGATCTCTCAGAAGATTTATTAAGATTAATGCAGTAAAGGCTTTCAATAAAATTTAACATCCCTTTATGTTAAACACCCTCAAAAACTAGGCATCAAAGATATGTACCTCAAGATAATAACAGCCATCAATAACAAACTCACTGTCAACATCACAATGAAAGGGCAAAAGCTTGAAACATTCCTTTTGAGAACCAGAACAAAACAAGAATATCTACTCTCATGACTCCTATTAAATATAATAATGAAAGTCCTAGCCAGAGCAATCAGGCAGGGGAAAGAAATAAAAGGCATCCAAAACAGGAAGAGAGGAAGTCAAATAATTTCACTTCACAAATGATATAATTCTATACTTAGAAAAGCCCACAGTCTCTACCCAAAGGTTCCTAGATCTGATAAAGAACTTTAGCAAAGTTTCAGCACACAAAATAGATGTATGAAAATCAGTAACATTTCTATACACTAACAACATCCAATCAAAAATACAATTATATT